CTTGGAGGCTTATTAGTTTGGGGGCAGGTTTAGAGATGAATTGAGTATGGGATGAGTTTGAAGAGCTTGGGTTAGTTGGCTCTGGGAAATGGATGGAAGGGTATTGGATTTAGGGAGCATGTCTCTGCAAGATCATTTGAAAAATGGGGGACATAGTAAAACTGGCATGTTAATGATTTGAGTTAGTTCGTAAAAGTCTTAAACTGTATATTTTTGCACGATATCATGTGTTAGAAGATTATATGGTAGAAATTTGGATGGTATATAACCCAGAAACATGAGTCAGTATTAGGGAATTGCTCTTGATGCGTGGATAGTTTGCCTACAGATGACTGAGAGCTGACTGTATGTATGTTTAAGTTAATAGTGTTTGTTTATATTGTGTGATGTCGGCAGACAGGCATGTTAACTGTAGGTGATTAATTACAACTTTGGGTTTCTTGTTATTAATTTCAAATTGGCTTCATGAGATAATAAATGGGTTTGTTATCTTGTTAGATATGTTTCTTTTGGGCTCCTTAAGGGATAGTAGCTGTGTTTAAGTATCCCTCTAAGAGAAAAGAGAGCTCTATGAGGACAAGTATATTTGTGTTTTATTTACTGATTACACCCAGGGCCCAGCATATAGAAGATACTCCTGTTTTGTTGAATGAATCAGTCTGCGTATCCCTGCACAGTAAAGAACACGAGATAGTGTTCATTAAATTGAGTTGAAATATTTGAACATAACACCAAAAAGTTTTGGAAGGCCAACAGCCTGATACAAAATGACCAGTATGTGCTTATTAGTGGGAACTCAGGAATTCTGAAAGAGTAGACTTAATGTTGATAAAATATGCATTTGAATAGCTAGCTGGTTGAATAATATGTACAGATACAATTTAGAAATTTCCTGATGAAGAAGATAAAAAAAAAAGAAAGTGTGATAGATTGTCTCAGGCCAAGCTGAGTTCTTTATCATAACTCCTTGTTGCCTCTCCCCCCCCCGAAAAGGTATTTATTTATTTGAGAGAGCGAGAAGGAGAGAGAGTGTGCAAGTGCACAAGTGGGTGGGAGGGGCAGAGGGAGGGAGAAGCAGACTCCCTGACGTGGCGCTCAGTCCCAGACCTGAGCCAAAGGCAGACGCTGAACCGACTGAGCCACCCAGGTGCCCCTACTTGTTGCCTTCTTTTTTTTTTAAGATTTAATTATTTATTTGACAGAGCGCGAGAGCAGGAACACAAGCAGGGGGAGTGGGAGAGGGAGAAGCAGGCTTCCCGACGAGCAGGGAGCCTGATGCGGGGCTCGATCCCGGGACCCCGGGATCATCACCTGAGTTTAAGACAGACGCTTAACGACTGAGCCACCCAGACGCCCTACTTGTTGCCTTCTTAAAAGCCTTTGACACTTCTGACAATGTCCTCATCAACCTTCATTGTCTGCCTTTGGTTTCTGGGACACTGTTCTTGGTTTCTTTACCTTCCTAATTGGCTTTTGTAGTGTCTGTCCTTTTTTTTTTTTTTTTTTTGGTCCTGGTCCTTATTCTTTTTGTAAGTGAATATACTGTATTTGAGGGATTCCATGGTTTTGACTCTAATAGGGTTAGTGTCAGTGATGACTCTAAAATCTACATCTATAGCTCTGTTGGGAGCCCCAGTCCTGTATTCTGACAATATCTTGAATCTCTCTTCTGTCCGTTCCCACAGACTTAATATCACCCCATCCCCTATGCACTCTCCTATGTGTCTGCACTTCTCTTATATTCCTCATCTATTGCAAGTCACCCAACTTTCTAGAAATGTTGATACTCAGTTTTCAAAGATTAATCTTCACCTCTCCCCATATTCTATTGGTTTTATCTTAGAAAAGTCTCTGTGGTTGGTCCTGCTTTTTCTGTAACTACTTCCCTCTACTCTGGACTTACTCATCCTTCACTTGAGCTATTTTAATAACTACATACCTGGAGTCCTTTCTGGTTTCTTTTCTGTGGTAACCCAAGTAATCATTATGAAAAAACAAATTTGGTCAGTTGCTTTGCTTAAAATGCGGTCTCATTCTGTCTGCTACATGTTTCTATTTTTCATTTTCACTTCTAACTTCCCTCCTATTTTCCTGTGCTGCATCTGCCAAGCTACTTGAGTTTCCTCATTCTGTGCTTGTTCATGCCTCTGTGTTAGACAGGAATGGAGTGTTGGCACAGAGGGGTTGATTCAGCTCTTGTCTGTGGCACTGAGGAAGACCTCTCATAGAAGCTTCAACTGAATCTTGAAGGACAAGTTTACGTTGGCAGTCTTTTTATCTTCTTTGAATTCTCTCAGAATTTTTTAATTCAATGCCAGTTCTAAGTTCTGGAGAATATTATTGAATCAATACGTCCATATTTTTGAGACAGGCCTCTTAGGTCATAGGCTCTGGGCCCCTGTGGATGTCACGTTTGCCATAGTCCACCGGGGTAGAGATGGGAGCCAAGTGGCATCACAGAGTTTCTTTCTTTCTTTCCTTCTTTCCTTCTTTCCTTCTTTCCTTCTTTCCTTCTTTCCTTCTTTCCTTCTTTCCTTCTTTCTTCCTTTCTTCCTTTCTTCCTTTCTTCCTTTCTTCCTTTCTTCCTTTCTCCCTTTCTCCCTTTCTTCCTTTCTTCCTTCCTTCCTTCCTTCCTTCCTTTTCCTTTCCTTTCCTTTCCTTTCCTTTCCTTTCCTCTTTCCTTTCCTCTCCTTTCTTCCTTTCCTTTCTTTCTTTCTTTCTTTCTTTTTAAAGATTTTATTTATTTATTTGACAGAGAGAGACACAGCGAGAGAGGGAACACAAGCAGGGGGAGTGGGAGAGGGAGAAGCGGGCTTCCCTCTGAGCAGGGAGCCTGATGTACTCAGGGGGTCACTGTGAGGATTATGTACGGGGCTTAGCTCAGTGCCAGCACTAGTCATAAGTAATACCACTTACCGGGACGCCTGTGCAGTCATTTATGACTATCTCACCTCTTCATCTTTTCGGTGATCACTTCCTGTTTTCTTCCCTTTCCAGTTGTCCTTGAACTTCACTTTATATATTTTTTAAAGATTTTATTTATTTATTTGAGAGAGAGAGACACAGCGAGAGAGGGAACACAAGCAGGGGGAGTGGGAGAGGGAGAAGCAGGCTTCCCACTGAGCAGGGAGCCCGATGCTGGGCTCGATCCTAGGAGCCTGAGATCATGACCTGAGCCGAAGGCAGATGCTTAACGACTGAGCCACTCAGGCGCCCCCATCACAGAGTTTCGACAGAACCAGTGATTCTCTCTCCGAAAGTTGCAGGCCAGGCAACATGGGCTGTGCAGGCTACCATAATAGTACTGGAGATTAATCAGAAAAAAGACTTAGGAACAGATTGTTTTTGGGACATGGCAACTGTTGAAGAGAGGGTATTGCCGGGCTGATTGTTTGCTTCATGGATCTCCTCATCTTTCTAGGACTTAAATCATCCAGTTGTTGGCTCAGTTCTGACTTTTCTTTAATGCTGCTTAATTTATTGAATAATCTTTTAACCACTAAACTGAAATGCCACTATGGTCAAATATAAAAATACCATGACTGTTAGTTGTTAGTTTTGACATCTAATAGGGCAAGCATGCACTAAGTATTCTTGTTTTCAAGTTTTATTAGCATTTTTTTTTTTTTTTTTGGTCAGTCAACATTTATGGAGCACCTTTATTAGCAAATCTTAAAATGTTTTCCTCTAGATAAACTTTGGAACTAATATCAAGTCATCGCACAAAACAAACAAGTAATAAGATCCTACAAGGATTTTGATTGGATTGTATTTGGTTTGTAGGTTAATTTTGGCAGAATTATAATGATCTTTTCTACCCAGGAACTAGTTTGTTTTTTAATTTAGTGTCTGTCAGTAGCATTTTATACATATGTGCATACATATACGTTATTTTTATTTCTTTTTTAAAAGATTCTATTTTTAAGTAATCTCTACACCCATAAGTGGGGCTCAACTCACAACCCAGAGATAAGAGTTGCATGTTCTACTGACTGAGCCAGCCAGGTGTCCCTACATACATATGTTTAAATAAGATGTTGTGTATTTGAAGTATTTTAAAGTTGCTTTTACTCTTGTGACTAAGATCTTCTCTCTTTTAGGGCACCTGGTGGCTCAGTCGTTAAGTGTCTGCCTTTGGCTCAGGTCATGATCCTGGGATCCTGGGATCGAGACCCGCATCAGGTTCCCTGCTCCACGGGAAGCCTGCTTCTCCCTCTCCCACTCCCCCTGCTTGTGTTCCTGCTCTCACTCTCTCTCTGTCAAATAAATAAATAAAATCTTTTAAAAAGAAAAACAGATCTTCTCTTTTTTTCATTTTTTTAGAGGGGGAGGGGCGGAGGCAGAGGGAGAGGGAGAGAGAGAATCCAAAGCAGGCTCCATACCCGGCACAGGGCGCAAAGCTCCATCTCCCAACCCCAAGATCATAACCTGAGCTGAAATCAAGGGTTGGACACCCAACCGACTGAGCCACCCACACACCCCATTTTCTTTTTATGTAAACTACCCCGAACATGGGGCTTGAACTCATGACCCCAAGACCAGGAGTTGCATGCTGTATGGACAGAGCCAGCCAGGCACCCTTCTTTTCATTTTTTAACTAGTTACTACAAGTATATAGAGAAACTGTCAATTTTTATTATTTACCTGGTATCCAGATAACTTAGTGAATTCTGTCTCTGGTTGGATAGCTTTCAAATGATTCTTCTGGATGTTCTTGTCAGAAGGGCAATCATATGCAAACAACGAAGATTCCATTTCTCCTCCTCTCCTTTTCCAGTATTCATGCTCACTTCTTTTTCTCATTATTGCGTTGGCTGAACTGCAGTGCTGTCTAAAAGAAATGCAATGAGAGCCACAAATATGAGCTGTATATGTAACTTTGAACTTCTAGTAGGCATATTAAATAAAGTAAAAAAAAAAAAAACCCGGTAACTTAAATATATTTTATTTAATCCAGCATACAGTAGGTACCCCCTTATCTGCAGTTTCTCTGTCCCTAGTTTCAGTTACCCTCAAGTCAACCGTGGCCTGGAAACAAATGTTCTTCTTTTTCTGACCTTTCCTCAGAAGGTCAGCAGGAGCCTAAGGCTGGTCCACAACGTTCACCTCCTTCACCTCCTTCACCTCCTTCACCTCTCTTCATCTCATTCCCTAGGCATTTTATCATCTATCACAAGGGTGAGTACAGTAAGATAAAATGTTTTAAGAGACTATATTCACATACCCTAATAAAGTTTTTAATTTTAATTCCAGTATAGTTAACCTAACTTTTATTACAGTATATTGTTAAAATTGTTCTATTTTATTATTATTGCTGTTTAAAAACAAAGTTCAACCAAGTAAATTTGAAGACCTACTAGATTTTATTAAATGATTCATGACTTGGGTAGCATCCCATCAGCAAGTAGGGGGAGCTCCAAGGAGTTGTAGAAAATGGAAGAGGGTGGGGTGAGAAAGTTATTAGAAAAGAAAAGGATTGAGGGGGCGCCTGGGTGGCTCAGTCGTTAAGCGTCTGCCTTCCGCTCAGGTCATGATCCCAGGGTCCTGGGATCGAGCCCTGCCTTGGGCTCCCTGCTCCTCGGGAAGCCTGCTTCTCCCTCTCCCACTCCCCCTGCTTGTGTTCCCTCTCTCGTTGTCTCTCTCTGTCAAATAAGTAAAATCTTAAAAAAAGAAAAAAAAAGGATGTTTCGTTCAAGATCATCTTCCTTTATGGGGATGGCAGGGGGTTTTATGCAAATTAAATCATCTTCCTTTTGGGGGTGTGTGGAGAAGGCCCCTGTGACATACTACCTCATTGATGCTGATCAGAAAATTCCTGACCCCATTAAAACTACATTTCTTAGGGAGGTTGAAACTGCAAGAAGATTAGGTATAAAGTCCATATATGGTGATTTGGCTTAAGTGATGCCATTTCAGACCTGTATTTTTCTTTTTAACATTGTTAATCTCTTACTGTGCCTAATTTACAAATAAAACTTTATCATAGGTATGTATGTATGTATAGGAGAAAACATAGTGTCTGCAGGTTTCAGTAGTATGTGTGGTTTCAGGCATCCATTGGGGGTCTTGGAATGTATCCCCCTGCCCCGGGGATAAAGGGGGGGAACTACTTGTATCCAAAATATTATTTCAACATACAATCAGTATAAAAATTATTAGATGTTTTACATTTTTTCTTTACTAAGACCTTGTAATATGAAGTTCCTTTTAAAGTTGATTATTGATATTTCCTTAAATACTTTTTTTTAATACATATACTGACATGATCACACCTTTCCCTCCCATTTAAACTGCTAATATAGAGAATGATGACAGAATCCTGGGGTATAATACAAAAATATGTTTGGTCTTTGTCCCCACTACTGGCACCTCCGGAGCTCCTGAAGACCCTTGGAATTTCCTGAGTGATAAGAGTCTTTTGTTATTCATAAAAATTCCCTTTGAACACCTCTGAGTTTATGCTAATGAAGCAGCTTAGGTTGGGGTTCTCTAGATAGCCTCAGGATGGGGCTGGTCACCAGAAAGACCCAATGATTAGAGAGTTTAAACTTACAGACCCACCCATCGACCTCCTATGAGGTGTGAGGGAGCTGGAGATAACAAACTCTTGAACGATGAACAAGCTTCCATGTTGGTGACCTGGGCCAGGTGCTGGGAAGGTGGCACACCTGGGGAGGGTTTGGAAGTTCTGCGGTGTCTCCTCCTCCCCCTATCCTTTGCCCTATGCATACCTTCCCTTTGGCTGTTCTGGAGATGTATTCTTTGTGATAAACCGGTAAACATAAGTAATGGGTGTTCCTGAGTTGCCATTCTAGCAAATTACTGAATTTGAGGAGGGGATTGTGGGAATCCCTGGTTTGTAACCGGCTGGTGACCCGTGACTAGCAAGTGGGGAATAGTCTTGCAGGACTGAGCCCTTAACCTGTGGGATCTGGCTCTTGTAAAATAGTACAAAATTGTAGGTCAATTCTAGCTTTAATAAAATTGTCTTTAAAAGTACTATCAATGTGTGCACATGGTGGAGGACTTTTTAAAATAATTTCTTATCAGAGTATGTTTGCAGAATGTAAATTTCTTGAGGCTTTACATCTCTGAATATTTCTTTATTCTACTTGGCAGTTGATCAGGAATTTAGCCAGGAGTAGAATTCTAGTTTAAAATTCATTTCCCTCAAAACTTTGAAGGCATTGTTGATAGCCTTCCAGGGTTACAAAGACATCTGAGGCCAGCATGATTCTTATTCCTTTATAGGAAGGGTGACTATAGGGGCACCTGGGTGGCTCAGTCGTTAAGCGTCTGCCTTCGGCTCAGGTCATGATCTCAGGGTCCTGGGATCGAGCCCCGCATTGGGTTCCCTGCTCGGTGGGAAGGCTGCTTCTCCTTCTCCCACTCCCCCTGCTTGTGTTCCCTCTCTCACTGTGTCTCTCTCTGTCAAATAAATCTTCAAAAAAAAAAAAAAGGAAGGGTGACTATACATCCTGGTTTGTCTGGAGCACTTTCTGTAAAGTATCCTTATGTATTGATCAGTTATATAATTACTTATTTGTAGGTGACCTACTGTTTTTTTTTTTTTTTTTTTTTTGAAGCTTTTGGGGTATTCTTAAACCTAGTGCTCTTTAGAATTCACAAGGTTGTGTCTAGAGGTCACTTATTTTTGCCCCCATTCATCTGCTCAGCACTCGTGGGGCCTTTCAAACTGAAGACTAGCATCCATCAGCTCTGGGATATTTTACTGCCGAGTGCTTCAGTAATTTCTGCCTCTTCATTTTCTTGGTTCTTTCTTTCTAGAACTCCTTTTAGTGGAACCTGATCTTTTGGATTAATTTGACACCTTGAAAAAGGACTTTACTACCGCCATTTTGACCTCAGACTTTCTAATTAAGTTTTTCTTTCCAGCTTATCCCTTTAACTCAGGCAAAAGACCCTGCACAGAACATCTTGTGATGGGAACCGAAACTACCCCCTCATGCAATCAGGAGTGCCTTGAGCCAGCTAGACCTGTGTGTGTGGTTGATCCCAAGACAGTGATCCATCTGAACTTCACTACCCACCTCCATGTACCCACTGACCTTGTACCACATTTCCTTGCATAAACCTAGAAGTATTTTCAGCACTTTGGAGGCAGTCTTTTTTTTTTTTTTGAAGATTTTTATTTATTTATTTGACAGAGAGAGAGAGAGTGCGAGAGCAGGAACACCAGCAGGGAAAGTGGGAGAGGGAGAAGCAGGCTTTCCGCCAAGCAGGGAGCCCGACGTGGGACTCAGTCCCAGGACCCTGGGATCATGACCTGAGCTAAAGGCAGACGCTTAACGGCTGAACCACCCAGGCGCCCCTGGAGGCAGTCTTTAAAACATCAGTCTGCTCTGTTCCCTGTGTGGGCCTCACTGAAATACATTTCCTTTCTCATTTCCCCACCACTGTGTGTCTGCCTTTGGTGAGTGGCTGACCCTGGACTTTTGGAAACCCCCAGAACCCCATGCCCCTATAGCCCTATGCCCCCAGCTACAATCTTATTTTTAAAAGTCTTTTTTGATTTCTGTTTTTTACTTTTTTTTTTTTTTTTTAAGATTTTTTTTTTTTTTTTGGGGGAGGGAATGAGATAGAGAGCATGAGAGGGGGGAGGGTCCGAGGGAGAAGCAGACTCCCTGCTGAGCAGGGAGCCCGATGTGGGACTCGATCCCGGGACTCCAGGATCATGACCTGAGCCGAAGGCAGCCGCTCAACCAACTGAGCCACCCAGGCGCCCTGTTTTTTACTTCTTTGATTTTGCTTCCTTTCTGGGAAAATAGTCTCAGCCTTTTTTCTAATATATATGTGTTGATTTTTAAATTTAATATCAGGTGCTATTCTTACTTTTAACAAGAGCTTTTTCTTTTTAGTCCTGTATGGTGCCCCATTTGTGTTTCATCAACAAGAGCCTCATATCTTTTTTTTTTTTTTAAGATTTTATTTATTTATTTGACAGAGACAGCAAGAGGAGGAACACAAGCAGGGGGGAGTGGGAGAGGGAGAAACACGTCTTCCGCCGAGCAGGGGGCCTGACGTGGGACTCGATCCCAGGACCCTGGGATCATGACCTGAGCCAAAGGCAGACGCTCAACGCCTGAGCCACCCAGGCGCCCGAGCCTCATATCTTTTTGAAGGATTAGTCACATGTATTTAAAGTATTCCCTCTATTTCCTGCATCGTCTGTTTCTATCCATTTCTGCCCCCCCCTTTCAGTTTTCATCTGTGTCCTCCATCGTGATGAGTTTTTGTTAAATATCTGCTGATCAAGAACTTCATATTCTCTCTGGATTTTTGATTCTAATTTTTCTGTTTCTAGGTGTTCCCCCCCCCCCCGTATCAATAAATTTCCCACATTGGCATGAGATTTAACACTGTGAGAGATCTGATAGGCTATTCTGCGTACATATCTGGATGGCTCTTCAGAGATTTGGGTAATATCTAAACCACTTAGCACTTTGCAGGGCTTATAGGGCAGTGCCGGTGAGATATTGCCTTTGTTTCTTAGAGCTGCTATAACACCACGAATTTTGTGGCTTAGCACAACAGAGATCAATTATCTCACAGTTAAAAGGGGCCAGAAGCTGACTGGGCTGAAATCAGGCGTTGGCAGAGCGGTGCCCCCTCCAGAGAAGAGTCTGTTCTCGCCTCTCCAGTCGCTGTGCCTGCTGTACTTGGTGGCCTGGCTCCAGCCTTCCAGGCCAGCAGTACGTCTCTGCTCTGTCCTCATGCTGCCTTCTCAGAAGGAGTGTCAGATCTGCCACCTTTCTTCTAAGGACGCTTGTGGTGGCCTTAGGGCCCAGCTGATCATCCCGATTGCTCTCTCATCCCCCGATCCTTAATTCAGTCACATGTGCAAAGACCCCTTTCTCAAGTAAGGTAACATTTGCAGGTTCCAGGGATTAGGGCCTGATACCTCTGGGGTCATCTATCAGCCTGCTTCCGGGTACTTTAGAGGTCTCCAGTGCTTTCTGTGCTTTTGCAGGTGCTGTTGTTACAGCCTCCGGTTTCCTCTCTCGGGTCCTTTGCCAAAAATTGGTGGATCCGCTCAGTTCTTAGTCAGCCTTCCTTGACCTTTCCTCTGAGACCGAGGACTGCATTTGCCTGTCTGTCTCCTTATCCAGTAGTTTTGGCCATGTCAGTACTATTTGTCTTGTTGGTCTCTACCTCTGGAGTGGGAGCTTTTTGAGTCTTGTGGGCACATTTCCAGAATGGGAAGCATTGGGTACGGAGCCGAGTAGGCATTCATTCACTAACTAGTTGTTGAGGAGGGTCAACATTTATTAAAGGCCACTTAAATACCAGGACCTGTCATGTTGGGCCATTTAATTAACAAAGCCAAATATGGTAAAGTAAGTATGCACATGTGCCAAAATTTCTCCAGGGCAAATTTTTTAAGGAGGCATTTGCTAGGTCACGGGAATTCACATTTTCAGCTTTCGCGGAATGCTGCCAAATCGCTCTCCGAAGTGCGGCGCTCTTGTTCCCTCTGTTCTTGCCAGTGCTTGTGGTGTTTTTTCTAATTAAAAAAATTCGATGGGGGGAAGGATAATGTTTTCATTTGTGTTTCTTTAATCGTGAGGCTATGTCATAGTTAATGGACATTTAGGTTTTTTTAATGGACATATCTTTTTTTTTTAAGATTTTATTTATTTATTTGACAGATCTCTCTCATGGTTAATGGACATTAGGTCCCATGGACGTATGTAGCCTATTTCTTCTACTGAGTTTTATTTATAGAAATTCAACAGATACTCTGGATATGAATTGTATATATACGTTGTCGTCCCTATTTACGTGTGAGGAAACTGGCATAAGAAATAGCAGGTAAATTTGTAAGATTTCCCCCCACCCAGATGGATAGATGGATAAATGGATGAATAAACGAATGAATTTGTTTAGAGTCATTGCTCATGAGAAAGAGTGGGGGCTATGGACCCGGAATCTGTTTTTTTTTTTTTTTAATTTGTGTTAATCACCATACATTACATCCTTAGTTCTTGATGCGGTGTTCCATGATTCATTGTTTGTGCATAACACCCAGTGCTCCACGCAGAACGTGCCCTCCTTAATACCCATCACCAGGCTAACCCATCCCCCACCCGCCTCCCCTCTAGAACCCTCAGTTTGTTTCTCAGAGTCCATCGTCTCTCATGGCTCGTCTCCCCCTCCGATTTACTCCCCTTCATTCTTCCCCTCCTGCTATCTTCTTCTTTTTCTTTTTTCTTAACATATGTTGCATTATTTGTTTCAGAGGTACAGATCTGTGGTTCAACAGTCTTGCACGGGATATCTGGTTTTAAGGCCTAGTCCTTTTTTTTTTAAGTATATCTGGCCGCCTCCCAGGGAATGAGGAAATTAAGAATGAGTAGTGATAACGCTAAATTTTGTCAAAATACTTAACTATTAGTTCCATTTACAGGCTCCGTGCATTTGGGCTCACGTTAAATTATTATTATTTTTTTAAATGCCTGTAGTGACCACAAACCTGCCTGCTTCACAAACATTTGAGAAAAATCATTGAGGGGGGCGCCTGGGTGGCTCAGACGTTAAGCGTCTGCCTTCTGCTCAGGTCATGATCTCAGGGTCCTGGGATTGAGCCCCGCATCGGTCTCCCTGCTCAGCGGGAAGCCTGCTTCTCCCTCTCCCCCTGCATGTGTTCCCTCTCTTGCTGTGTCTCTGTCAAAGAAATAAAATCTTAAAAAAAAAAAAAATCATTGAGGGACGCCTGGGTGGCTCAGATGGTTGAGCGTCTGTTTGCCTTCGGCTCAGGTCATGATCCCAGGGTCCTGGGATCGAGCCCCACGTCTGGCCCTCAGCTCAGTGGGGAGTCTGCTTCCTCCCTCCCCCTCTCCCCCTGCTTGTGTTCTCTCTCTCTTTCTGCCTCTGTCAAATGAATAAATAAATCTTAAAAAAAAAATCATTGGGATAGTGGATAAAAGTGTTGTATACACAGTGAAATACTGTTTATAAATCTTAGTAATTATTCTTCTTGACCATTACCATTATGAGAGAATAAACTCCAGTATATGCCTTAAAAGTTTTGGATGTACCTTTTTATTTTAATAGACTTTATTTTTTAGAGCAGTTTCAGGTTGAAAGCAAAATTGAGCAGAAGGTTCAGAGATTTCCTATATACCTCTGACCTCATTATCAATAGTCCCACACCAGAATGGCACATTTATTGCAGTCAGTGAACCTACACTGATATGATATATCATTATCATTCAGAGTCCTTATTTTACCTTTAGGGTTCACTCTTGGTGTTATACATTCTGTAGGTTTGGACAAATATGTAATGACATTTATCTACTGTCAAAGTATACAGAGTGATTCTACCACCCCCCACATCCTCTGTGCTCTGCCTGTTCATCCCCATTTTCCTCCTTAACCCTTGGCAACCTTTTACTGTCTCAATAGCTTTTCCTTTTCCAGAATGTTGTAGAGTTGGAATCAGACAGTGTATGTAGCCTTTTCAGGTTGACTTCATTCACTTAGGTAATATGCATTTAAGTTTCCTCCATATCTTTTCATGGCTTGATAGCTCATTTCTTTTTAGTGCTGAATAATATTCCATTGTCTGGATGTACCACAGTTTATGCATTCACCTACTGAAGGACATCTTGGTTACTTCCAAGTTTTGGCAATTATGAATAAAGCCGCTATAAATATTTGTATGTATTTTTTTTTCCATTAGTCATAAGTTTTCAGCTCATTTGGGTAAATACCAAGGAGGCTCAGTCACTGGATCATACTGTAAAAAATATGTTTAGTTTTCTTGGAAACTGTCAAACTTGTCTTCCAAAGTGGCCGTGCAGTTTGCATTCCCACCAGAAATGAATGCGTTCCTCTTGTGCCGTATTCTTGCCAGCATTTGGTGATGTCAGTATTTTTGGATTTTGTCCATTCTAATAGATGTGTAGTGATACATAACGTGCTTTTTTCGGTGAAAGGTTACATGATAAAATGTCATTTGTTAGTGTGATAGATGGTGTTTTCAAAAACAGAAATTTTTCTGTAAGTTTTTGGAAGTAAAAATATCTCCAGGAAAAGGCTGATATTTGGCTCTGATGAGACTACAAGTAGTAATGTTTGTCTGTTTATGTTTGTTTTGACAGGTATCGAAACAAAGACGCAGATCTTGAAGGCACTAGCACCTACCATTGTCAACTGGTAAAATGTTAATTTTGTTATAACTGCAAAATACTTCAGCATACAGTGTATTAAGTTAAAAACCAAGTGTATCTAAACTGTCAGATTTTTTTTAATTCTTCCCATTTTGTGATTGTAGAATTACGAAGGTAGAAGGTAGCTTTCCTACTGATTTTGTTTATTTTTTTTTAAAGATTTTATTCATTTATTAGAGAGAGAGAGAGAGAGAGAGGCAGAGGGAGGGGGAGAAGCAGGATCCCTGCTGAACAATGAGCCTGCCGATGCGGGGCTCGATCCCAGGACCCTGAGATCATGACCCTGGCCAAAGGCAGACGCTTAACCAGCTGAGCCACCCAGGCGTCCCATTCCTACTAATTTTAATTCAGTACAAATGCATTGGAACATTAAGCCATGTTATTCACCAATATCACTGATCTTTTCTCAAATTGAATTTCATTTAAGTATTTGTGTGAGCGTTTGTGAACTCAGTAACCTCTTTATTTTGTGAAGTTTAGCACTAGTTAGAGTGGTATTACCATTTCAGCATGTGCTGGTCATTTTAAATTTGTGTTAGTGTTACTGGACATTTTAACAGAAGTTGTTGGTTGCAGGCCCGGAAAACAGCAGTGGGCTTTTTGTTAACCTGCAGCCAGTTCTACATGTTACTCATAGTTGCAGTGGGCTAGAATGTGGCAGGTTGTAGTCTTACCTTACTGTGGCTCCTGAAGTGAATTAGTTTCTTGAAATTTTGGGGCAAGAATTTGAGGATCAAGTGAACTGAAACTTTTTAGCATCTGAGTACAAGTAAAATTGGATAGAGCTGTTAACAAGGAATAGTCCATGTTGATAAAATGCTTTAAGAATGCTTTGAGAATATAAAAGCAGTAAGCATTTTTATCAATTTGAATCATGAGTGTTGACATTTATCTTCTGTTTCAGAAGATCATTTCAAAATCTTTGCTTCCCTTCCCCCCCCCCCCCCACAAATCTTTGCCCACATTGGTCAAATTTACTAATCTTTGTTTTCTATGGATTTTAAAAAGAATGCAAATAAATATTATGTTTATTATTAAAAAACTAAACAGTATAGGAGTCTGTAAGTAAAAGGGTAACTTCTCCGTTCCCATGATTCTTTTGCGAGGGGATTACTGCCCCTTACCAATTTGGAGTGTGTCCTTCTAGACCTTTTATGTGCATTTCCAAAATGACCGTTTTGTAATTAAGCAGGTGTGATGGATAGAGGAATATTCCTTGTCCGTTGATGTGTCTTCACTTTATTTTAGACATTTCGGTGCCTACATTTTCTTGGATTGTATACTTGGCCACGTGAGGAGTGCTTTGAAGTCACTAAGTAAATACATCAGTACATAGTAGTTTCGCTACAAATTTCTTTTAGTGTTTAGTGGATTTTGGAAACTCCAGACTTTGAATTTCTGGCTAAGAATGGCCCAACAGAGTTTAGATTTACAAAGAAATTGGAATTGCAAAGATAACTGTGTAGGGGCAGCTGGTTAGCTTAGTTGGTAGAGCATGTGACTCTCAATCTCAGGGTCCTGAGTTCAAGCCCCACATTGGACATGGAGCATACTTAAAAAAAAAATTTTTATGCATATATATATATAAATATATATACAATTTACTGTGTATTAAACAATGGGTGTTAAATAGTAAGGCATTTGTATAGATGACTGCAGTTAGTTTTGCCTTTATAGAGGCTTGGCTGGATTGGGGTAGACGGGTAAATGGTTATGGAGTTTTAGTACACCTACTTAGGGGACAAGGAAATGGTGAGTGGTGCCTGGGGAAAAAGTGCTATAGCAAAGTGACAAAAGTAACTTTGTCTCTCATTATTTTGCCTAGACTTGAGCAGGTACCCAAAAAGGGAAAGGACATTTGTCACTGTATACTGGTTAAGTATATTAGGAAGTAAACGGAATGTCACAGACGGTTTGAGGAACCTGGTGTCTTGTATTCTAAAAGTTAGAACCACACGGTGTTACATGTGGGAACCGTGCATATTCAGAAGGCCTGTGACTTCTGAAATGATGGAAGAATTGAACTGATTTGCATGTGAACATGTCCTTTGTGTGATGGTTAGAGTGAAGTATTTTGAGCTCCTTAAAAAATCTGGAGAAGCAGATTGTGATTAGAGTTTTATTTTAATGCTGTTGGTGTTAGTAGTCTACCGAAAAAGGGTGTGTAGAATTTGAAGAACATTAACAAATAGAGTTGTACATGAATAAATGTAGACCCATTGCCATAGGTGTTGTCTAGTGTCTTAACTCTGTTAGATGCACAGCAAGTCCATTATTCTTATTTTTTTCTTGGTGTTCAGTTATACTGGTTTAAAGTATATTCTGTCCATGATTCTAGTAATTTACATTTAAGTATTTTCTAGAGTAGACAAGTTCTGATGGCCTTCAGGACTTCACTCACCTTGATGATTCATTGTCCCACATTCAGATGGTAACAAAAAAGGTTATCTGTGCATATAGCCATGCAGTAGAGAAATTATTCAGAATATTGTCATTCTTATATGAAAGTGATCTAGGTTTGAAGTTTGGAAGGAGATGGGGACAGCAGCAGGTTTGCTGTATTTTTGGCTAATCACGAAACAATTTCCTAGAGTAGGGCCGGATATTTCTCATAGCTGTTGAAGGTAGATTCCTTTTTCTTGTGCCTTCTAGTTTTAAAACACAATCTAGGTTTTGAACACTTAATGGGAAAGCTGCAAGAGGCCAGAAAGCTGGGCACACTGGAGAATGGCGGAGAGGAGAGGGGAGACCATATCTTCATAGCTTTAATTTTGAAAACTCTTTGTTTCAGAAAAGCTTAGTGGTAAAATAGTTTATGGGAAGAAGAAAATTTATGTAAAAAGTTAAGGAAAAATAGAATAAGATTATATGAATAAAGTGAAATACAGTAAAAGACTTAAGTATTTACTGAAGGAAGTATTGCATGTTTAAACCTTATTCTTTTTTTATTTAAGATTTTATTTATTTGACAGAGACACAGCGAAAGAGGGAACACAAACAGGGGGAGTGGGAGAGGGAGAAGCGGGCTTTCCGCTGAGCAGGGAGCCCCATGAGGGGCTCCATCCCAGGACCCTGGGATCATGACCTGAGCCGAAGGCAGATGCTTAATGACTAAGCCACCCAGGTTCCAGTTAAACCTTATTCTTAATTAACATTTAGATAATACAAATAATGAATTTGATATAATGTTGGTTGTGATGCAGGTTATTTATCCTGTAGTTACATATTTCTACAACATACTTACAGTTCTTGTTATATATATTATTTGCTTTTTCTTAATTTTTTTTTAAAAAGAGAGAGAACTGGGGGCTGGTGGCAGAGGGGGAGAGAGAATCTTAAGCAAGCTCCACACCCAGCGCAGAGCCTGACCCGGGGCTTGATCTCACAACCCTGAGATCATAACCTGAGCTGAAATCAAGAAGTGGAAGCTTAACCAACTGAGCCACCCAGGTCCCCACCTTTGTTTGTTTTTTAACTGTTAGCCAAGATACAGATAGGGCTTTTGGGATGAGGAAGGATATGGAGAAAAGATAAGGAAATATCTTATTGAACAGTTTATAAATTCTTAAAATTAAAAGGTATTGATTTAGATTGGGTAGATTTAGATGGTGTAGACTAAAATTATCTTGAAAATCTTAATTTTGACAAGTTAATCTCTTTACATTCTCAAAGGCTACATTTACCTGAACTATCTTCTCAATGTGTACTTTATTTTGCTTATTTTAAGCACATTGCTTTTGTTGACATATTTCATATGTTTGCAACTGTTTAGCCTCCGGCCTTTGAATTTTCTTCAATTTCATTTTCTGTTTTTACTGTAGGGAAGAAAATAGTTAAGTTCAAAAGTGAAATTGTTAATTGGACTACCAACCAATCCACTCTCTTAGTTTTAGGTTCATGTAATACTAAATAAAAGTACTCACCTGGATTGACTTGAAGTTACTAAGACCCTCAAGTACCAACCATCCAGGCTGATGTCATTATATAATCTAATCATGTTCTCCTGAAACATTTATATAGGTGGCTCTCATTAACCATTTTGGAGATAATTGGAATAAGTAAGGATTTAGTACTAACAGTTGGGGGGGTGTAAATAGTCCTATTCAGTATTGTTATAATACAGTCAGGGCATTTAATTCTTGGCTGGTTAGGACACACTGATGGATTTGTCAAAACTGCTACGAAGTAGGGCTCCTAAGGTTTAGTTTCTCTGCCCTACCATTTGGATAATATAATGATGACTGACCATGCCATTCCCCCCATTTCCTTTCTATGGATCAGCCTTAAAGAAAATTCTAGGATAAAAAGCTGCACTTGTATATAGAGAATTTCATATCACTTCTTTTGGATATAATAATAAGGGAAGATACATGGCTTGGAAGGTGAGTAGAAAGCGGAGTAGGAATAGGTTTTTCCCTTAGATGAGGAAGGTGAAGCAACATGATTCAGAACCCTGAGTGCATGTGTGTGTGTGCGTTGTCTGGGTTGGGGGGGTGACTGGGGATCTACCACATGACAGGACTGATGAACAGAAGCACCTCTGAGGACTCCCCTGTGTGTTGCTGGATCTTGGCATGAGGTTATTAGCCATAGGCGTAATACTATAAAAACCCTAAGAGTTAGGGAAGTTTGTTGCGGATCAACTTTTTTAGATGTATGGAGGCCCAGTAAGTTGAGTTGGTTAAACAGAGTTGGTCCCGAATTATATTGCATGTGTGTTTTTTACCTTTGGGACTGGAGTGGGACCCACAGGGTGGGATCCGATAGTTCTGTGTCACAAACTCCAAGGATGTTTAAACTCGAGCATGGAGTACGAGCCATGAGAAAAAAATATTCTTCATATATGTATTTTCTTAAAGATAAATTTGTCATCATCTCACTGAAGCTCATGGAGAGAAATCCCCAAAATTGACTAGTGAACTAGAGATGCTAAATGGAATACCAATTCCAAATACAAGATGTGTTAAATATCCTTATTCTCTTATT